TAAACACAGAAAACTGTTTAAGCCCCTGGGAGCCCAATCACTGTGTTAGTGAGCTGGGGACCAGGACTGTGCATAGCCTGGAGCTTCGGGCTGGGGTGAGGTGGCCTTTGGGCTTCTCCTTAAGGCGAGGAATAACTCTGTGCTTGTGTGTGTTTCTGGAACTGAGAACATGATTCTCGTGTATATGCCAACAGTGTCTTCTACAACCTGAGTCTCTTCCGTAATGAACTCGGCATAAGCTCCTGTGCCTGTCATTAAGTGATTGGTGTATCTGCAAATGACACCAGGAATAAAACACCAAAACTGACCCTTCTCACTATTCAAGCATTTGTCATTTGGGAGGTGCGGGAGTGGGGGGGGGGCACAGCTGTCATCTCACTCCTTGGAGGCAGAGGCAAGGCAGGCAGGTGATCATGAGTTTAAGGACAGCCAGGGCTACAGAGTGAGACCCAGTCTCCAAAGGACAGTAAATGAACAGAGGACAGCGGCCGCGCTCAGCCCTCTCTGACTGATCAGCATTATAGCACCTGGTTTGCTATGATCATTTTTAAAAATCTGTTTGCTAAAAGCTCTACTATCATCAACTGTCATCTTATAAAGTAACACAGCCTTCTGGCCATTGAGGAATTGACGGGCACTACGTCACCTGGTGAAATGTCTGAGCACTGAGAGGAAGGAGCATGCTGCATTGGGCCGTCTGCTTTTTTCAGTCACCGCCACTGTGACGTGCAAGCATGGATCAAGTCGGGAGGCCTCTGAGGTGCTGTCTGTAAACATTGACCTGTCACCTGGCAGGCCCTGCCAGGACCCATGCATTGGCTTCATCAGTCCTTGTTGTGAGTGACAGGAACCTTTTTAAAGGGGAAAAGATCGAAAGACAGGAAAACATCCCACATAGCCAGCTGTGGGCAGGGGAATGTAGCTGACTGAAGGGACATCTGGACTTAGGCCCTGGAAGGTATTGGGCTTCTTGGCACCTTGATCCCTGACTGCAGTGTGCTGGTGGCACTCGGTGACCTCCACAGAGGAGAGGGCAGGACCACACCCCTTGCTTTTGTGGATTAACATCTGTTAAACCTGAAATTAAACGTGCAGTTTTGGGTTTCAGAACATTTTTGTTACTGAGTTTTCAGGTTGCTCTGTAGCCTCTCACAGTACATTAACTCTGAACTTTGCTGTCCTCCCTAAAACTCCTCCTTTTCAAAATGCAATGAGCAGACTTCACTCAGGACCCCAATAAAAACATGAAGCAGCCAAAAAGGGGTACAGGGTAGTGAGGTGGCCCTACCACCTGCTTCTGGCTTTGAGAACTGGAGGCATGCTCATGGAAACCTCCAGTGAGTCATGGCTAATGTCACTGTGCTCGGTTCCCTTTCCCTCACCCAGTCATATACCTTCCTCCCATCCAGTGGACTCACTGTAGTCCAGCGTACTGTCATTGGGAAGGCAGTAGATGTGATGGGCAGTGCTGGCCGGCCATTCCAGAGATACGGGGTTGGGGGAGACCGAGGAGAGCCATGACCTAACTGGGCGCTCATTCACAGGCTTAGAAGTGAGGTGTCAGAGGGGAGGGCAGAGAAGGACTGAGCACACGCGCGGCTACTTTGCAGATTGTACCATCAAGTTTGAGGTGGCACACTCTATGGAGTGAAGTAGAAAGGTGCCTGTCTGCAGGGTATACATCCTACATGAAGGCCAACATATTTATAGCGAGACTCTTGGAGCTCAGAGTAGAGTGAAGAAATCCTTACAAAATGTAGAGGCCCAAGAAGATATGAGAGGTGGCCATAAGGAAAGCAAGGAGGTGCAGCGGGGACACGCCAGGAGCAGAGGGAGAAAGGTCTAAGTACACAGAAGCTGCAGTCGTCTAGAAGGAAAGCTGACGGTGCGGTTTCTGGTGTTCCTGTGAATTCTACCCTTTGGGTACATGTGCAGAGAGAGGCGCATGGCTCCCAGGACAAGGCAGAGCCAGACTGCGCCTGCGCAGCTTCATCTGAACATTACAGCTAAGCTGAAATCAGAACAAGGCAGAAAGTTTGGTGCTATCTGTGTAGCACTTGACCCGGATACTCAGCCATTTCTGTCATTTTGTGCTCTGTCATCCACACATGGGTGTGCTTGTCCCTGCTAAGTAGAATCCTTCAAAGACCACCCTCTGCCTCTCCTGACACCCAAGGCATGAAGGAGGTAACCGAGAGCCCTGGGACCAAGCCCACACCTCAGTCAAGCCAGTTCGGCTCTTTGCCTTCCCATTAGCACTGCAGCTCATGATTCAGGCTACAAACATGGGCAGAAATCCTCTAAGGGAGTGTACAGAGATCTAACTGGAAGGCTCACGGTTGTCATGTCTTCCCCAGACATGCAGTAAATCCCAGCCAGGGGAAGCATTCTCATCCTTGGGGGGGGGAGGGAGGCCCTATGCAGATGTCCTAATGAATAGTATTCACATCCACCCATGAATGGTCAAGTGTCCTTGCATTCTACCCATGAATTATATAGCTTGTCCCTGCCCTACCTCTCTCTTCACTGAGAGTTTTAGGTATTGAATCAGCTACTGTCTTGCAGACCTCTGTGTAGTAACTGTCGCAATGAATACGTGTATCAGGAGAACAGGTCTTTTCAAGATCACAGATGCCTTGGCTCTGGTAATTGCAGGGTGTGGTTGCGAGTCAACCATGAAGAAAACTGCCTGAAGTTACTATGTAGTCTTTTTTTTTTTTAATGAAAAACTTAACTAATCCCTATGTCCAAAGCCCTTGCAGCTCCTCCCCAGTCTCCCTCCACACAGCAGGTGGACTTGTTCTGCTTCGGCACAAACATGGGCCTCATTTGAGTACCATTCCTGGCCACAACCTGTAGTTGGTTGGGGGGGGGGGGGTTGTTGTTTTATTTTTGTTTTTTGTTCTCTGTTTTTTCTCCTTTGGGGTTCTGCCGCCCAGTTTCCAAATATGTACACAGAATCCTAGTCTTACTTATAAATGTCCAGCCTTGACTTGTTTGTAGCCGGTTTTGCTAACTTAAATTATCCCATTTCTCTTTAACTATGTCTTGCCTCTAGGCTTTTTACCCTTCTTTATTCTATATGTCTTTTTTTCCACCCTGGCCCCTGGCGTCCTCCACTCCCCTTTTCTCCATCCTCGCTCCTTTCCCCTAGATTTTTCCTCCTATTTATTCTCTCTGCCCACGAGCCCTGCCTATTTCTCTCTCCTGTCTAGATATTGGCCATTCAGCTCTTTATTATACCAATCAGGTGTTTAGACAGGCAAAGCAACACAGCTTCACAAAGCTAAACAAATGCGACATAAAAGAATGCAACACACCTTCACATCATTGAAACAAATGTTCCACAGCATGAACAAATGTAATATCTTAAGGTAATATCACACAACAAGCACCTGCTTTTTGAACTCTTAAACTCCAAGAACCCAAGAGATCAAGAAAGAACTCAGGAAGCAAACATGCCCACGGTTAAGCGAGCTCACGGCTTCCTTGTGCTACCTGCATGTACTATTGCGCTCAGGCCACGCTCTGGCCCTGCCATGAGCACAGCCTCAGTGCAAACACCCAAAAGGACTGACATGTCAGAGCCATGGCTGTCAGGCCTGGCCCCTCCTCGGCACCCGCGTCACAGCTGCAGAGCATGACTGAAATCCTGCGGGGGAGTCCCAGGCCTTGGCCGTGTTGGAGGGTGTAGCCGCTTCTGCCAGCTCTCATTTTCACTCCTGCAGATGGGCTGTCTGGGAGAAACGTGAGGCTTTACACACAGGTGTGTCTACCTGCCCACGCTCCAGGTGGTGTTCAGACTGAGCCCCATAGAGTTAAGACCCGTTATCATTTGAGAGAGAGAGACCTTGCTTACACTCCAAGTTTAGTGCTGTTTTTTCCAGAACACAAAAGGCTCATGCAAGTGTGCCATAGTGATTGGTGGTGGTAGTGGTGGCGGTTGCAGAGGTCTTACATTGAAGACCTAAGCATCCCATTCCTGGGTGGTGTCCCAGCCCCTGGGAGTGGGGCTTGATGGCATCCTTGATCAGGGGAGGCACCATGCCGTGGTGTCAGTGCAATGGCCGGGCAGGGAATGACTTTGTTGATAAGCAGGTCTACGGGTTACTCTTTTCCTGTGACTACACATGACCACACAGCCAGTTCCAGGCCAATGCTAAGAAACTCCTCATCCATTGAGGCATGTGAAGGGTCCAGCCTTGGCTTCTGACTGTGTTTTTCCTAAGCGGTGCCGCCTCTGAGCAGACAGTGAAAACAAGGGTGGTGGCCAGGCTGCACGCCACTGTGCTCATATGCAACATTTAGCTAATGATAAGCTCCATAGAATCTGCCTGTGCCCAATCCACAGGGGAGGAAAATGCGCCTCAGGAACTTACCTAAAGGCAGAGGGGCAGGTACTATCACAGGACATGGACACAAGCCTCTCTTCCCCTTTCAAAACAGGTGTCTCTCTGTGACCACCCAGCCAGACCCGTGCCCACTAAACCCCCTCTGTGTTGCCTGACGTCACTTTGTCCAAGTCTTAGTAAGATGAGAACTAAAGCTCCCGTTGACGTTTGCTCGAGCCTGTACTGACACCACCTTGGTGTTCCCAGTGCAGTTCACCTGGATCCGTACTCAAGCCCTTCCATAGTCCAGTTTCACATCCCGCAGAACTAACCCCATTTTCCTCTCGCAGATGCAAGGGACAGCAGTAAGTTGCAAACTTACTTTCCTAAGTTGCATGGTCTGTGCCCACACAGAGACCCTGAAATCCCACGCTGTCTCTTCTTTCTCCCTGTCCCCCAAGCATTGATTGAAACCTAGTTATCGCTGCTGGCTTTTGGAAGCCGGCCTTGAGTGTTGGCGGGTGTGTGGATCAGATCTCAGCGCTCCCGTCCTGTGTGTGCTGCCAGCCCCATGCCTGTGCCATTGAATCCAGAGGCACTTGTGACAGGATGGGCTCGGGCGCTGCTGTCTCATGAAAGTGAGCTCTTCATCCCACCTCTGTGTTCCAGAGCAAGAAGAAAACTTTGAGTTTATCATTGTGTCCCTCACCGGCCAGACATGGCACTTTGAAGCCACCACATACGAGGAGCGAGATGCATGGGTCCAAGCCATCGAGAGCCAGATCCTAGCCAGCCTACAGTCCTGCGAGAGCAGCAAGAATAAGGTAAGGCCCTCAGCAGGCTGCCCCAAAATCAAGGCTGCTGATCATTAAAGCGAGAAGAAGGCCCAAGTGGAGCCAGGAGGGGGGTATGGGGATACAGGGGCATCAGATGGCTTGTGTGGATGACAAGACCCAGGTATGCTTTGTGAGGAAAAAAAAAACTAAGTAATTGAAAAGATAAAACCACTTTGTATCTACAAACACCATGCATGTGTTGGTGTCCTGGCTTGGCCGTCTGTGTGTGGCAGGATGTCCAACATGAAACCTTTGCTGTAGCAGCCGGCGCTACGTGGGAAGCTTTCGCCTCTCTCTGTAGGCGATGAAGCCTTTTGGACTCTGCCTGCTTATGCGTCCATACTTATTTTTTTTGTTGTTGTTATTGTTTGAGGCAGAATAAATCAGAAAAAGACACAGAGACTTAAAAGATGCCCCATTCTGCCCTCATAAATGTCTCGAATGTCACAGGGATACAAATGGAACGCAGAGGAGATAGAGGGAGTTTGGGCAAGGTGAATTTTCTGTTTTTTTAAAAGTCTGGTTTATGTTTCATTCAGTAATTAAAAGGAGTTCTCCAGCAGTTGTTTGGCCAGAAATGAAAGTGTTGTTCACTGTGCTTTCTGGGCCACTGCTCGGCAATCTTCCTTACACCGGTCCTGTCTTTCCCAGCCGGGTTCTCTCCATTTCAGTCTTTGAGCCTTAGATGCTCAGAGCCCTTTGCTGACCCGCTGAGGTTCTTGGTGAGCATTTTTATTTTTCAAACTGTGATCGACTGGAAACTGAAGAAAGACATGGCCATCCACCTGCAGTTCATTTATAAGCCGTTAAAGAAAGCTCTGACCGTGATGGATGGCCAGCTTTGTCATTAAGAAGGGAGCCTGCTTTTCAGAGAGATGGGGTGTGTTATTTTATTACCCTCTTGAGCCAGGGTAAGCCAGACCACAGTCATTATTGTTATTATGTCATTTGCTTCTCTCTTGGAAGACGGTTTATACCCAGCTTGGGAGAACCACTGTTTTTACTCTGAGCTTCCTGGATTCTTGTGTCATTTTCCTATGGAGCCGTGATGTGTCTCCCCTCCTCACCCCTGGGCACAATGACACCTGCCATCTGCAGACTTGGAATTCTGGTTTCAGAGCAGGGAAGGGGATACGTGCTGCTGATCAGACAAGCATATCCCCGGGTGTTATGGAGAAATTAATTTTACACATTCTGACTGAAGCCACGCCTCTTCTTGTTTTTAGAAGCTCTGGGTTCTAAAAGTGTGGGCTCCTCCCATTCCACTTTCTTAAGAGCCTCTTCCCTCTTTGCTTCTCTGATTGCAGACAGTAGGGTGCATGAACTAGACGCCAGTGCCAGCCCACCTAAAGCTGCCCTCTGTAACCATGGGCAAACACACTTGTGGAAATGGCTTCCCCTGAGAGGAGGTCCCTTGAGCAACTGAAGGACACCAGACACAAAGGGTAAAATGGGACCTAGATCTCCCAACATAGATGACTTGGAGAGAAAAGTCCAGACTCCATTAGAGAGAGAAGCATCAAGTATTACAATTCCTGGTGGATAATCCTGACCCAGACAGACAGAGCAGCCAACCAGGGAGTCACAGCATTGTACAGATACATGGAGGAAAAACAGGGAGATAGGTAGACACCCCCTCCCCGTGTGTGTGACACCTCCAGATGCCAATTCAAGTTGTTAAATGATTTCTGATTCCTCAAGGAAATAAAAACACAGGGTAAATAATGCCGATTAAACAATAGCAGTAGGTAAATGATAGCTTAGTATTAAGTAACAATAAATTCACATCATCTGTTTAGCACAAGACACCTCAATTTGTGAGGAATTTGTATGCAAAAGAAGTTATTCTAAGTTCTGAAACTGATCAACTTTTGCTTTAGCTGTAATATCAAGTGCATGTTGAATAAATAAGCCTTTTAAAATACACATATCCTTTCCAACTCTGCCCCTTGCTTCCAGGATTTCATCCTTGCCAAGCAGTCAGAAATATGCGTAGGCATTTACAGAAAGCATTTTCTTTACAGCTCTGTCTAGAGTCAAGGATGCCTAGAGCATTCCGAATACACAGCCAAGGAACTTGCTGTATACTCACTCACTAAGTGGATTCATATGCATGCACTTAAATGATGAGGTTAAAGGCTTTGTTGACATCAAGTGATAGATAGATAGATAGACAGATAGACAGACAGACAGACAGTACTAAGCAGGAAAGGCAAGCTGCAAGGCAGTAATACCCATCTGTCTTTGCTACAGCGCTTATGTGTACAGATGTGCATAGAAAAACTGCCAGAGGATCTCTGAGTGATGGAATCCTAGTTTATAAATTCTCAAATTTTCTAATGTTGCCACAATAGGTTGATCTTAAAAAGAAGAAAATCTCTTCTGAGAACCATAAGAATGAATACCCTGCCTCACTCCAATGAGTGACTTTGATTTCATAGTAACTGAGAGATCATCACATGAGGGAGAGACTCTTCTGGCTATGATGTGTGGTGTGGTCTGGGGTTTTCTGATGAAGATTCAGAAGATAGCTCTGTGCATGCTGATTTAGGCCTGACCCTTGGCTGATAACGCAGATTATTTTTTTCCTCACTCTTTAATCTTCGTGCCAAGTAGCTATATGCATGAAGGTATATAAACCAGTAACATTTTCCATGTAGCAGTCTTTGGTTCATTCACAAATTATGGCGGTCTGACCACTTGGCTCATTTTGGGAATTGTCCGTCTCAGCCAATAATCCTGACATACAACCTGTCGCTCTCCTTCCTGAACTTCCCTAAGACATCAGAAATGGAAAAATTGTTTGGAAATTGCACACCGCTGCACCTATGCATAATCTGTTTGGTTTTTCTCTGACATCATTAGAAGATGTGTGGCTTTTTCCTGGCTGCTCATATCTTGCATTTTTTGTCTTCTTTGTGCCTAGTCCCGACTAACCAGCCAGAGCGAGGCCATGGCACTGCAGTCCATCCGTAACATGAGAGGGAACTCCCACTGTGTAGACTGTGATACCCAAAGTAAGTATACGGGGCTGACGGCGCCCCAGATCTGTTATCAGCTGTGGCATTAAGGACTAGACATGTTTGAATCTGGGTTTAATTTGAACATAGTGTCCTTCACACAGCCTTACTGGTGGAAGTGTGTCTTTTCGTATACACTGGACTTCTGTGTGCCCTGCTTAAGCCTCAGGCATCACAATAGTTGAAGGACTGAAACTACAAAGACTACATCTCTTGGAGTTACCCCCGTATATCATACTTTCTGTTGTACAAAAGGTAATATTCCCTTTGAGAGTGATGTTTTCTTTTTATATCCTGGGGGGCAAAGCCTGCCCCCTCAGAAGCTAGATTGAGTAAACTTTGCCCATTTATATTGTTACATACGGTCTTGAGGGGTATGGGAATGCAGTTCAAACAAGAGGTGCTGGTTCAGGTGAGGGATGTCTGGGAACTGAACACGCCTGACTTGTTGGGCAAGGTACCCAGGACACATGGTCTACAGCCTTGGGGAAGAAACAAAAGGGACATAGGTCTTTGAGATCTTCAACCTCAAAGCAAGCTTCCCACCAGAGTTTGCTTGTCAGGAGGACTCTGAGGAAGAGTGCAGTGTGAGAGAGTCGTGTGACTGGAGTCTGTAGCCTCACAGAGTTCTCCCTGGGTGAGCCAAAAAGAAAAGTGGCAACTCAGGCTGGAAACGATGGAGATGACGGAGATGCTTGGGTGCCACTACCAAGAGAGCTGTGAGATCTTTATGCATTTGTAGGCGGGGGTGAGCTGTCCACATCTCCTAGTAGGGACAGAATTCTGTGCAGTTTTATGGGTCACTGTCTGACTGCACCAGAAGAGAACAGCAGAGTGAGCCAGAGACCTGCAGGTGGATTGTGAGCGTCGCCTGAGACATGGAGGCACTAACCCAGACCTGCTTCAGATGAACGAAAAGAGCAGAACTTCCCCCATGGGCTCTGACCAGCAGGTTGTCCAGGCGACCTAGCTGACCACAGCCCAGCAGGAGCCTGTCCTCAGGACAGGAAGGGCACACTCTGCCATAGACTCCTTTGGGCGCTGCTTTAAAGTCTCTCTTTGTTTGAATTTTTAAATTTTACTTTCAAAACGTGAGCTGAAGAGAAAAGAACATATATTTGAAGTGTGTTTTTATCCAAAACTTTCCTTAAACCAGACATTTTTTTAAGCACAGAACCTGAGGCATATTTAAAAAAAAAAAAAATCAGAGATTGATGTCTGTAATTGTTTCCAGCACGCAACTAGAGATTCCTCAAAAAGAAACCAATTTATAGCTTTACAGAAACTGTGGCATGTGGCAAATTGGAGGTCACAGGTCCTTTCTGAGAGGAGGTGGATATACGTATGCTAAGGATGGGCAGGAAGGGGAGGCCATGAGACCAGACTGTAGATAGAACCACATGAGCAGATGGGGCGGAGATGATAAAGGCAGAGTTGAAGCTTCAGAAGAAGAGGTTTGAAGGCCGTTCACCAAGTATACTGTGTCCAGTCCGCGCATGGATTACCTTTTGGATAGTTGGCACTGTCATGGGCCCATTACAGGACAGGGAAGGAAGAGTCTAGACCACAGCAGTTTGTCCAGATCACTGGGGTAGCAAGTTCTATGCAATTCAGCCCACACCCTTCACCAGCCTATTGCTTACTCAGAGGCCTAAGATGCTTGGAGAGTCCGATGTGAGTACATGAGCAAGCAGGGAGAGATTTTTTTTTTTTAAGTGTAAATGCCCAGTTTTGGTGCAAATGCTAGGAAACAGATCCCCATAGGCCACCCCAGCAGTGAGATGTGAGCAGTGGGATTAAGAGCCTGTGAAGGCTGTGTGCCTATGACTGCAGCAGTCCCCTTAGGAAGGATCCCCGTGGGGGAAGACAGTCTGTGCACGGAAGGAGCAGACACCCACTTTAAAGATGGCCCTCTCCAGGACTCTGGGATGAAATCAACCACTCCACATCTAAAGGGAGGTACTGGTGACATCTGTTGGTGTGACAGACAGTGGGGCTCCCGGGAAAGCCCCCCCCCCCCCCCGAGAGTCTCAGTGGCCCATCATTTCATGTGTATCACCCTCTGGGGGTTGAGGATGTGTCCGGACTCTAGTACAGTGTGGGATTTGAGGCCACAGTTACTGCAGGTCACCAAGTGTCTCCTCTGCACACTCAGCCTGTCCTAGAACATTGTTTCCAAACAGGGCATGGAGCCACCTTAGCTATGGGCTGCTTGTCTATGAAGAGAAATTGTGGTCCAGTGAATTTGGAAAAGTCAGTGCTATCCACCATCAGTATTTGAGAATTTTGTTCTAGAGGGAGCTTGCTTGTCCAGCTCAGCTCTTTCAAGAAACCACTGACAACAGAAATCTGTGTTGGGAGTACCAGTTGCCAGCCACCAGCATCATGTCCAGAAAATGACCCGGGGATCCCAGAGTACACACGTGCGCGCGCGCACACACACACACACACATATACAGTCCTCACCAGTATGTCAGACCTTCCAGGACAAAGGTAAGAGGCAGCCCAGTCTCAGACTCCTGGTCCACAAAGGTCTGTCATTGCCAGTGCTGCCCATACAATCTGGCTAGAGCACTGTTAGTTCCTAGTAGATCTTGTCTGACCCACCAGCCTTGCCTTCAACCACCCCTCAGTTCCTCAGATGTGAGCTCTGTTATGGTGAGGTTGTTCTGTATTCACCCAGATATAGTGTGTTTTCACAGCCTCTAATGTCCATAGCCACCAAGAAGAGTGGGCATGCCAAGCTCTGCCCAAAGCAGGGCTTAGGTTCTGTGATGTCAACTTACTACACTGGGGGTAGGAGGTGGCCAAGGGAGCTGTAGGTAATTCTAGCTGAGACCAAAGGGAGAGCAGCATGCCAGGCAGAGCTGGTAATGTTGTACACAGGCTGGTGAAGCCGGTGAGGGTCTCAACATGAGACAGAGAAAGGGGTGGGGCTCGGTTCTTATCCTGTCTGCTCCCAGTGACAGGTATCAGTTATAGCAGGTTCTGAGTCTCAGTGTTATGTGACTGGGCCTGCCATATTTTATGGCTGCTGTTGGGAGGTCAGGATGTGAGCATACAGACATGAACTGCGACAATCCCATGTTATGTGGAGATAGTAAGGACAAGAGTGGAGGCTCAGAGTAAGAAGAAAGGGCTGAATTGGAGAGAGTATCTGTGGGGACAATGAAAGAATGAGGGCTGATCCCCCAGGTCCTGGGAGAGCATTGGTGCTGTTGGGAGACGCAGACAGAAACTATCATCAGTGCAAGCTGATGTCAGGGAAGTCTGTGTAAAAAGTTCCAACTGGTAAACAAGAAAGAGGTCAGAGCTGTTGACAGTTGTTACAGTTTGGGTTGTCACAAAAGCCTAGTCAAGCTGAGTTTACCAGGCAGAGAGAATGGCATCAGAATAGAAGAGATTACAGGAGCCAAGGTGAGGGCCAATTTGAGGAGGATGTACTGGAGAAAATACTGAAATCATGAAGAAAATCCCAAAGAGACATTTAACTTCATCTGCATCATGTGCAGAATTGGGAGGTGGACGGTGGATAGGAAGTCAGCAGTGGACTAAAGTTGTAGCCATGGAGGTGGCCGGCAGCTATGACAGCCCTGTCTCAGTGGAAAGAGTTGGTGGGGGCAGCATAGCAGGAGCCACGCTCTGAGGGGTTGCAGACAGCAGGTGAGAGCCATGCGGCGGAGGATATGCAAGCTATTCAGCAGCTGAGTCCAGCCTGCAGTTGTGCCGCCTCCTGTGCTGTACCCACTCATCCCTGTGACCACAGGACACCTGGCAAGAAATTACAGGAAAGGAAGCTACAGCCTGTCATGTGATGGGGGCCAACTGTTTGTTCATGTCTTCATGGATCATGGCGCACAGACAGCACAGGAAATGGGGCTAAGCTCCAAACCTCAAGGCTTGTCCCACCAGAGATCCAGTTCCTCTATCTAGGCCCCACCTATGGAAGGTTTCACCCTCACCTGAAACAGCTCCACCTGCTGGAGATCAACTTTTCAAACACATGAGTCTGTGAGGGACATTCTACATCCAAACCACAACAGAGTTGTCTTCTGCTGTCTGTAACTCCATCCTTTTTTGTCTTCACACAGAATCTGTATGTTTCTGTGCCCTGTTCTCTCTGCTTCTGTTTGAGACCTAGGTTTTTTCTTCCCCCATCAGAACATCTCTGAGATCACAGGCCTCTTTTCCAGGACTCTGGGATATGAATCAGCCATCTTCTTGGGTTGTACTGATGTTAAATAAGTGGCTTGCTGACATTCTGGTTAGTCATGTGACCATCAATGGTCATTTGCCCTGTAGAGAACCCAGGAAGTCTCTCCAGTGGGTCAGATCAGTTTTTTTTTTTCTGACTCTTCTGATTTGAATACATTCCAGTTTTTCTGACTTGAATACATGCCAGTTCTGCCTCTATGTGAGTTTAGCCTCTCTTCCTGATAGCAATGAGGGCCAGTGGTCATCAAGGTCAGCCTGTCTTTGCAAAACGCCTAGAGATTGTAAGCTCAAAGCCAGCCCTGGGCCCAAGTTCCAGATCTTCTGATGATATCATCACACAATGACAGATCTGTCCTAGGGCCCCTGAAGCCATTCTGTATACAAGCTCAGCATCCAACAGAACTGTATCCTTGTCCTGTCAACCCAGTTTGAGACGTACAGTACTCAATCTGCGATTCACAGCTGAGGGAGCTGGGTCTTGATACGACTATAGTACCTGCACACTCATCTGCCAGTGACCAGTGGAACCCTGTGAGTTGCTGCAATGGGTACCTTAAGTAAGACCCTTGTTGACCTTCACACAGGAGTGTGCCTCTTCCGTCTTCAAAATTGGCTGACCCAACCAAGCTGGGCTAACAGTAGCAGAAAGGGTTATGAGAGCCAGTGCGACCTCCAGGCATGGCCTGGGCCATGGTGGCACTCAGTTTCCTTGTCTCTGCTTCTCACTCCATCAGCAGCAGTTCTTAACACACAACTTTTTTTTTTCTGATGTGCTCCAGTCCTGAGCTGTGCTGCTAAAGTATTAGAAGAGGTATCTCTGTCCAAATGAACACCAGTTCTGAGAAACTCTGGATTTGCCACAGCTGCCAGCAACTTACCATGTTTTCCCTGACAACCAAGAACAGCTCTAAAACATGTGACTGTGGGGACTGACTGCCTGAGCAGGTGTCCCTGAGAGTCAGGACCATTGAGAAGGAGTGGTGGCGGTCTGATTGAAATTTTCCCGTTTCTCTTTCTGTAGACCCTAACTGGGCCAGTTTGAACTTGGGAGCCCTCATGTGCATCGAGTGCTCAGGGATCCACCGGAATCTTGGCACCCACCTCTCCAGGGTCCGATCTCTAGATCTTGATGACTGGCCCATGGAGCTGATCAAGGTGATGTCGTCTATCGGAAATGAGTTGGCCAACAGTGTGTGGGAAGAGAGCAGCCAAGGACGGACAAAACCCTCATTGGACTCCACAAGGTAGGGATGCACAGGTGCTCCTCCAGCAGCTGCACCACTGGGCATGACCTCAGGAACAGCTGCAGCGGTGACCCTGGCAACCTATTGGAATGCCGATTAGCCTAGTCTGGAAGCATCCGTATTTGAAATTAGTCTGGAGTAGACTGAATGATTCAAACTCCTTAATTTTTTATGTTTATTTTTAGGCCTTGGGGATTCCTCTCCCCTCTTGGAAATGTATTACATTTCTAATCTTATGAATATATTACTTTAATTAATATATTTCTAATAGGCCCAAGCTGTGCTAACACTAATTATAAATTTTTGATTCTTTGGTTTTGTATTCTTTCGTACACTATTGCTAAGCATCTGTGGCTAACCAACTTCCTCACCTGCCCCTGTCAACAAGTGAGTTTATGATTAAGAAAATGTATTTTATTTTCTAAAATATACTTCTAACACATTTCATTAAGTACAGCTAAGCATAATGTATGGTGACTCCTCATTAATGCTAATTGTTATCCAGGATAAAAACGCATTTATTTTTAAGGCCATTTAGTTTCCCATTTTTCACTTACAGCAATTATAAACCATTTTTGAGGATATGCATGCATATTTAATTCCCCTAAGAGGTGGCTGAAATAGCCCATTTTTGAAGAAGTCCAATTCCATAGTAGCAGAGGGGTCAGCTCATCTCTAGTTGGTCTACCTGAGGACATACATCCAAGGTTCTCAGGTGCTGGGTGCCCTGTATCCCCACTACCCCCTCCCCAGGCTATCCTCCCGCATGGGCTTGAGACCTGTTTCTATTGCGCTTCTCAAGATAATGAGAGGAAGAGGCATTTGTCATGTTCAGCATCTGAAGTATGTTTGTTTGTTTTCCTGGTGATGAGATACAGTAGGAGCCCAAGTGGCCATAAACCAGTGGTTAGGCTGCACATCCAGGTTCTAGCCAGTGATCTTCTGAGACCTGTTGGCCAGAGTGTGTTTCACTAACACAGCAAAATGAATGTGTGGCGCCCCCTCTGGCGCACATCAGGAGTGAAGCTGGCATACATTAATCCTACTTGTGTTAGGCAGGACGGGAAGGGGAGCAGGAAGGGAAGGCCAGCAAGGTGCGATAGTGTGCTTACCACCCCGTAGGTTTGCTGTGACAGCTCCCCATTGTATGAGCTAGTCTGGGTAGCACAGTTAGTGGTTTCCTCACAGATCACAGATGTGCTCCCCTTTATCTCCATCTCACTGTTATCTTCCCTGATTCCACACTCACATGGAAGTCAGCTGGGCTCTTCATTCGACCCTAAAACATTATTTGCTTTGTAGTATCTCCTTTTTTCATAGTGTAGTTAAATTTCAGTCTGGAAATGAAAAGATACTTGGAAGTTAAATTGTTCAATGTATGAAGAAAACATTGATATGAGTTAGAAAAAATTAACTTTATGCATCTGACCTTTTAGGTTTAAAAGTAACATATAGACTTTGTTTAATGCCATGAATTAAGAACGTTTGCTGTTCGTGTAGAGCATAGAACAATTAGAAGCTGATATGTGGTTGTCTTCATGTACCCAGCAGTGAGTGGCTACTGTAGGGGCAATGGCCAGTTCTGACTGCTCTTTGCCCTGAGCTCTGGGGCTATAGCTTTCTGTTCTGCCCAGCACCACCAGGAACAGCTTAGAGACAGGTGGGAGGAGTCTTCACCTCACAAACAGGTTGGCTGCAGTTTTACCTCTTGCCTTTGGTCAAGTTTCAAGAGCCCTTCTGAGTCAGTACTCCTCCCCAAGGCTGCAGTGATTTGGTGTGATGACCACGGCATCTCCTGATGGGACTTTGGAATTTCTGAATTTTCAGACAGGCATGAGATCTGGAGGCATATTTGTATCTTTGGTAAATTATCCTAGGAAATTCTTTTGTCTGGTTAAATTAATAAATATTTACAAAATGCTCACAAGAAGAGAGAGGGAGGAGATGAATAAAAGACGAGCATCATGACACGTGGGTCTTCTTGGGACCAGCTGAGGAGGCCGTTCCTGGGAAGTTTACAACCATGGCTGATTTCCAAAAGAGAGGTGTGGGAGAAGAGGGCAGCCTAAGCAAAGGCAGAAAGGTTCTGCCCAGAGCACACATGTCCAGCAGCGTGCCTCCTGCAGGGTTGAACCTCCTCAGATTAAAGAAGCGAGGATGGGTTTGCTCTGGGAAGCTCTTGAGCCAGGGTGCCTGATATCAGCCGGATTGAGGTAGGATGAACAGTCTGTGTTTGACCTCATTCCATAGTGTTCCTAAGAACACTGAAGTCAGCAGCAGGGAGAGTGGAAAAGACCAAGACAGACCAAGGCAAGGGCTACCTAGGTTTCTGGTGTTAAAGACATACTACAGCCCATATACAGTACAGTAGTGATCCTGCTGCCTCCCACCTTCACCATCCATCTCCCACCCTTTCCCCAAGGAGAAAGAAAACCCTGGAAGTCTAGGCTAGAGTCAGTATGGAATTCACCCCAAGAAAGTTGATATCTAGTCTAGGTACTGCCTGTCCAAGATGTCTTACCCCATCCCAACCCTCAGGCCTCCCACCTTCTCCATGAGGAATTGAGGCCAGTTAGTAGAAGCATTGAGGGGCCAGAAGCTAAGCCCCAATAGAAATAGTTTCATAAATGTTGATGGTAGTTCAAGGAAAAAACCAAATGTCACTCTTTGAAACAAGGGCCCAAATGTTATTCCACAGAACTTGGATCGGTTTCAGCGTGATTAAGGAGATTCATTCTGACTGGAATGTAATTAAAAACCTGCTGCTCATATACAAACATATATACACATACACACATCCTAACATGCAAGCACACATGTACCCCAACACACACATATATACATGTATATACACCCAATACATACGTATATATATACTCACACTTGTACACATAGACACATCCCAGCATATATACACACACATCTACACACCTCAGCACACAAACACATATATATACATGTGTATAGACATGCTTACATGTGTGTATGTGTGTTTGCACACACACACACAGACACACACACAACTTATCTTTCTATAAAGAAACAGTCAGTCCCCTGAAACAACCATGCATTGGCCTCAACCAGAACTGTGGGCAGGTTGGGAGAACAGGCGCCTGGCACAGCTGCCTGGCCTTCTGCCTGTTGTCCCCACACCCCTATTAGGGCAGCTCTGGATGGCCTATAATTGGTTCCAGCAATCCTCAGCCGCCCTGAAAACTGCCGTTCAAACTTGAGCAGCATTGTGATCAATCGGAGCTGACGACAGCTGAAGCAGTATTGACTTCCCATTCCTAAACAGGGGGATCATTAGTCAGGGAAAGCATCTTTTAATTACTCCCAGGAAGCAAAAGAAAAAAAATCTTTTTGGATGGATTTTGCAACAGCTGCCATTTTTTTCCAGTACATTCGATATTAAATTTATTGTCGCAGGAGGGGAGAGGATGCCCTCCACCCCTCTGTAATGGGGGTTTGATTTGGAAAAAGAATCATGTTAGAGGGGAGATCGATGTGGTAACAATTAACTACATCTGGGCTGGAATCAGAGCGCCCCCCCCCACACACATTGCTATTGATACCATTTAAGCACACACTTAAAATATTGATTGTATGTAGGGATGTCAAGATGGTCATAGATGCAGCAACAGGGGATGGTTATCTGGAATTGGGGCTAAGAATGGAGACCCTCAGTGGGCATGTTTACGTGGCACACTATGTAGTAGACAGTTGGGACAACTGAGTCTGGAGCCACCAGGTGCTCAGGGCCCTGGGTTCCAGTGTGAAGATTGACCCTTATTGGAGGGAGTGCCAAGATCACTGGCAACCCTTTGAAATGAAAGGAAAATAGCCTTTGGGGTAAAGACATTATGAGTCAGGTGACTGTCTGTGCCATACACAACACACTACGTGGTCACCTGGCAGCCAGGTGTCAGGTGTTCTTGTTGTATCCACACCACCTGGCTCCTCCCATGGATGAAATGATGCTTGGTAGTCTGCAACATCAAGGCTGCTGCAGCAGACCCCTGTGATTCCTGTCCTCATGGTGTGTCCAGGGCTAGTCTGCACCATGCTTACCTGTCCCCTTCATTGCTGTGCCCTCTTCTACGGAAGCTGGTTATGTCAGCTTTGGTGATGGTGATTTCCTACTGGGGCAAGGCAGTCCTCTGGGCAGAAGCCAGGAGGCTTGGTGGTGTAGCTGTCCCCATTTGGCTGACTTCCTATGTGTCTCCCTGATGGTATCTGGCCTGAGACGGTCAGCAGAGACCATGTTATTTACATTTTAGTACAGGTAGCCTATTTATGTGGTACTTGGCACCTGCTGGCTTGAGCTGGGAAATCAAAGGAAGTTAGAATGCCAAACTGTGTTTTCATTTCCAGGAAGAGCACATGAGAGAAACTGCTAGCACAGCCGAAATCACCCATTACCACTTTGATGCCACTTGGAAGGGGACATTGGCGGGTTTAATGCACATCCTCTTCCTGTTTTGAGTGTTCCCCCTGCATACACACACACACACCCCTCTTTCATTATTTGTAACTTCATCTCTCTGCCTAAACTCCCTTCTTGTCTCTGGCCATCGATAGGAAGGTCAGGGCCCACATCAGAAACTTGCGTGGGAGAAGACTGGCCACACACTTCCAGACCCAACCAGTCTGCCCGGCAAGAGGAGTGCCACTTCGCTTTGATTCTGCGGGGCTGCTTTCATCTTATTTATGCACACGGAGATATTGATAAAGGGGAGATGTATCCAAACTGAAAATAATTGGATCCCCGCAGCTGACTCTGAGATATTAAAAGCAGCCCCACTTGGCTATGTCTTTGTCTTGTTAGGTTTGATCATAAGATCACAATATAGTAATCTCAGGCTCAAATTTCTGGCATAAAGATGCGCTGTTCTAAATGTGGCCTCGGGGACATGGCTGCCCACGCGGCCCCGGGATTGTCTCCTCTGATTATTTTTCAACAGTTCTTGGCCTGCTGGGGTCAATGTTTTTGTGTCTTT